AACCATTTAATGGAATTATTTGATTCCATTTAACCTGACTTAATTTCTTCTGAGCACCAAGATCTTGCCAATCTGGATAACAGTCATATTCCTGAGATAGTAGCATACTGAGGAACTATCCTAGATAAAAAGAGAAACAAAGCTTAAGAGTGATACCATCTTCATATACTTTGTCATCTGGTTACAGTAAGCTCACTTTGTTCCTAAACAAAAAGTTACCAAAGAGAAATGACCTCACAGGGTAAATGTTGTCTTCCAGGGAGCACTGCACCCTCCCTGTCCCCCGACCAGGCACTCCTCCACACACCTCCCACCCCTGAATGCTACTGTGAACACTATAGCCACTATACTCCCAAGTCCCTGGGATAAAAAACATTAGAAGGAAATTTAAAGGCATGGCAAGCAATAGAAAAGCATTTTTAACTATCACAGACAAAAGTAAATATCTTTAATATATAAAAAATGCCTACAAATCATTTTGAAAAGCCCAATAATAGAAAAATGTGTGAAGGATATAGGTCATGGAAACAGAAAAAAAAAGATACTCAGTCTTACTCATATTAAGAAAAACATAAATTTACAATTACAATGAGGTAACAGGCTTTAGATATTAAATTGGTAAAGATCTAAAAGTCAGCACCATGATGAGAGTAGTCAGTACACCCTGTATGATTCTATCATAGAAAAAACAATGGGACAGGGACACAATGCTTACAGACAATGCACTGAAAAGCTCTAAAAAGATAAATAAGAAACTGGCTACAATGGGATCCTCCAGGGGCAGTAACTAGATAGCCTGGAGTCTAAGGTGAGAGGAAGATTTTTCTGGCTTCCCTTTAGTGCTGTGCCTTTTGAATTTTGTATCTTCAGTAAACAGGAAAGATGTTACTCATTTTAAAAAATGGAATTTATTGAAAAAAATTACCCAGTTACCTTTATTCTGAGGATTTCAGCATTTTTGGCCTATCTTCATTTAGCTTTATTACAAGGTGTTGCAGAGAGATCTTAGAAGCTCTTCCATTTTCTCTCTCTTGTTCTTGTGTTTCCAGTAGTTTTGCCAACTGTGTTTGAAAATGAGGTGGTGTTCTCGGGCTCTAAAATTAAATCAAATTTCAAATATCTGATTGATGTTATAAAGATTTCTTTCTAAATGGATATGCCAAACACACAAAATATTCAGGCTATTTAGCTGGTCATTCTAGCTCTTGTCCAAGTAAAACAAATAACAAACTGGTACCTTTTCAACAAGAGCAGAAAAGGGGTTAGTGAAAATCTTATTCCATAAAAAGACAAACCTACAGTCTTAGCAATTTCCAAACTTTAATCAGTCACAAAACTGTTTACTGCCCTTGGAATGCACTCTTCTTCTGAAAAGTACCTGGGGTTGCTCGGCAGCAGAATCCATCACGTGTACCAGCTGCTGCATTTTGAAGTTATATTCATTCTTTTTCTGTTCTACTTCCTCTTTCTTTTGGTTTAGCTGGGGAAATCGAACAGATATAAGGTTCCAAATTAGAGAATAATGAGGAGCACATGGTCCAATTAGAATAGATAAGCTTCCCAAAGTATGTGGAAATAGGCTTTATATTATTTTTTCAGGACTTGGTTAATAATTTGAAGAGCAGTAAGATATTAAAACAAGACAAAACCAGAGCAACTAGTAAATAATATATGAACTGCCCTCTGTGTGTGCATACTTTAGTTGCTACTATAAACACTAATCTAAGAAAAAAATGTATATACACTTTTCAAGAAAATTTCTTTTTCAGCTTCACAAATAATCTAAGGGTTATTTGGGGAAAACTACAGAATATAAAACAATAGCAAAAAAGAGGTTAAATCTGCCATAACCTTATCCAAGTGGCTACCACTTGCTGGTGCATGTGAGAGAGTCGGGGGCGGGAAGGGAGGCAGTCCAGCAGGTCTGAACCCACCACTTGAGCAACCAAGTCGGTAAAAGCCCCAGCGCAGCCTAAGCACTGAAGTGCCCTGCGCCCACCTTTCTGTACAGAGAATCAGGTGAGGTGCTCTGTCTCACCTGGTGCTGAAGTTCCTGGATCAGGGTCTCCTTCCTGGTCAGCTCATCCGGGGCAGACTGCAGTAGCCCTGAGTGCTTTTTCGAGGCCTCAGTGAGCAGGTTCAGCTACTCAGTGGCATGAACCAGATCCTCACAGAGCATATCCCTCTGTTAGGAAACAATCCCCGCAAAGGCACATTTCTTTCTGAATTGTAGTACTCCAATAAGGATTCGCAAATCATTACTATGTGCAATTTTAAACGGTTAAGAAAGTTTTAAGAACATTTTTGTGTGTGCCAATCCATTCCAAAACAAGCAGTTAATATTTAAGTAAACAGGTCTAAAGACAATGTGACAGTAAATTCATAAAAGTATCCCTGTTAAAGTTTAACTGCACTCTACTCCTTTTCCCCCGTTTACCCCCAAGACCTCAAAGCTGATCTTTTTTTGGAGGACTCAATGCACAGGTCTCTGGCTTAACTGTTGTCTTGACCATCGATTCTAATTCTTTCTACAATGGAAGGTAAATAGCTGTCAAGATGAGTACCCCTTGGACAGCTGGGGGATGGGGGCTGCGCAGTTCACTAGACTGTGATACATTGTCACAGGTCATCAAAGTTTCAGGAGGGTAGCTTGATGGAAAGTGGCAGAAACTATAAGAAGTCCTGTAGGTTGCACACAGAATTTGATGGACAGTGTATAACATCCCTACCAAATCAGAGCAGAAATCTGCTTACCTGACTTTCCAAATGTGTACACAGATATACACATGTATAATGTGCATAAAAATACATGCATGTGTACATGCATGTATGCATACATATATGTTCATATATACTTGGTTTATCACATTTTTCCAGGTACTCACTCTTCTCATATTATGTTCATTGCATGGACTCTATTTCATCTTATGGCTGTGCCACAATTTAACCCATCATGAACTAGTTTGGCTGATTTGAATTTTTCACTGTTATATGCAATTTATTCTCATTTCCTGATTTCTTTAGGCTAAATTTCTAAGAGTACAAACTTACAGCATATGCAATTTGAGGCTATGTATTACCATACCACTTCCCCAAAAAATGAACTTAAACTTCACTAGAAGTTTGAGCAATCACCCTTCTCTGCATATCTTTGAGTCTTAATATTTACCAGTTTTAAGATCCAAAAATAGCTTTCATTTTAATTTGCATTTCTTTGATTTTAAAGAGCCTTCTGGGCCACTACAGTCCCCCCTTGGGGACTTCCTCATGCACCTATGTCCATTTTCCACCAAAGGTGTCTCTGTCCTTTCTTGACTCTTTGACTCTTAAGAGATCTTTTATGTGTTAAGGAGATGATCCCTTTGTCATCATCAGTTGTAAACATTTCTGCCCTCCAATATATTGCTAGTTTTATTTTTGTTTTAAATATTGTATAAACTTTTATGGTTTCTTGCCTAAGTATCAAGATTTTTTTAAAGGGCCATCCAATCTCAAAATCAATCATAATATGTATTTGTATTTTATAATATTTTCATGATTTCTTCATTTACACAGAACTCTAATATAGTTGGAACTTGATTTTGGTAAGACTGCAACTGTATCTTTTCAAATTGGCCAGATAATTTTCCAAAAACATTTACTGAATCGACTCACCCTTTCTTCACAGTTGTGAAATACCCACTTACCATTACACTAAATTACTTCGCATTCAGTTATCCATCTGTGGATGTTCAAAGTTGTTGCAATGACCTCTTCCTATCACCCATCCCATGGATATGGCAACTAGTTTATAAGTCCCTCCATATAATTTTTCTCAGTTTCCAAGGGAAATCTTTTATTCTATACCAAATAAACTTTTAAATTATCTCATCAAATTCTCTAAACATGGTATTTGGATTGCAAGTACATAAACTTCTAAACGAGTAACTGAAATATTGTGCCTTCAAGTCTCTCTTCAGATCTTTTTCCAAGTCTCCCTTCACATCTATCAGAAAGGTTTATGTCTTTGACACTTGTTAAATTTTCTTCCTAAGATTTTGATACTCTTTGTTGTTTCTATGAAAAGGCCTATCTTTTCATCCCATTATGCTTTTTTTACATTTTATTATTATTTTTAGTTGATACACAGTCTTATTTTAGTTTCAAGTATACAACACACTGATTCAACAGTGACTCATATTAAATCCACGCCTCCTCTAGTGCAGTTACTATCTGTCCACATAGGAAGATGTTACACAATCACTGACTATATTCTCCATGCTGTACTATTATCCCCATGACCAACTTATATTATGATTGAGAATTTTTGTGCCCCTTTATCCCGTTCACCCTCCTCACCCACCAAGCTCAACCCCTTCCCCATGATAACCACCAGTCCCTTCTCAGTGTCTACGAGTCTACTGCTGTTTTGTTCATTCTGTTTTGGTTTGTTTTTATATTCCACAAATAGGTGAAATCATCTGGTATTTGTCTTTTTCCATGTGGCTTACTTCATTGAGCAAAATACCCTCTAAATCTATCCATGTTGTTGCAAATGACAGGATCTTTTCTTTTTATGGCTGAATAATATTCCATTGTATATATGTACCATCTCTTCTTTATCCATTCATTCATTGATGGACACTTAGTCCATATCTTGGCTATTACAAATAGTGCAGCAATAAACATAGGAGTGCATTTATCTTTTTGATTAGGGATTTTGTTTTCTTTCAGTAAATTCCTAGAAGTGGTATTGCTAGGTTAAATGATATTTCTATTTTTAGTTTTCTGAGGAAACTCCATAATGGTTTTCATAGTGGCTACACCAACTGACAATCCCACCAACAGTGTAGAAGGCTTCCCATTTCTCCACACCCTTGCCAACACTTGTTACTTCTTGTCTCTCGGATAGTGGCTATTCTGACTGGTGTGAGGTGATATCTCATTGTGGTTTTGATTTGCATTTCACTGATGCTTAGCAATTTTTTCATGTGCCTGTTGACCATTTGGATTTCTTTAGAGAAATGTCTGTTCAGGTCCTCCCCAATTTTTTAAATCAGGTTGTTTTTCTTTTGGTATTAAGTCATACGAGCTGTTTATTTTGGATGTTAACCCCTTATCAGATAAATCATTTACAAGTATATTCTCCCATACTGCAGGTTGCCTTTTTGTTTTGCTGATGGTGTTCTTTATTGTACAGAAGCTTTCAAGTCTGATGTAGTCCCACTTGTTTATTTTTATTTTGTTTCCCTTGCCTGAAATGTATCCAGGAAAAAAATTGCTCATACTTATGTTCAAGAGGTTTTTGCCTATGTTTTCTTCTAAAAGGTTTATGATTTCATGACTTACATTCAGGTCTTTGATCAATTTCAAATTTACTTTTGTGAATGGAGTTGCAGTAATCATTTCATTCTCTTGCATGAAGCTGTTCAGTTTTCCCAACACCAATTATTGAAGATGCTGTCTATTTGCCATTGTATAGTCATGGATCCTTACCATATACTAATTGACCATATATGTGTGGGTTTATATCTGGGCACTCTGATTCTGTTCCATTAATCCATGGGTCTGTTCTTGTGCTAGTACCATACTGTTTTGATTACTGTAGCTTTGCAGTAGAGCTTGAAGTCAGGGAGCGTAATCCCCCTGGCTTTATTCTTCTTTCTCGGGATTGCTTTGGCTACTTAGGGTCTTTTGTGGTTCCATATGAATTTTAGAACTATTTGTTCTAGTTCATTGAAGAATGATATTGGTATTTTGATAAGGATAGCATTGAATCTGTATATTGCCTTGGGTAGGATTCACTTTGACAAAATTTATTTTTCCTGTCCACAAGCATGGGATAGATTTCCACTTATTTGTATCTTCTTTTAATTTCTTTCATGGGTGTCTTCATTTTCAGAATACAGGTTTTTCACTTCCTTGGTTAGGTTTATTCTTAGGTATTTTATTCCTTTTGATGCAGTTGTATGGAACTGATTTCCTGATTTCTCTTTCTGCTAGTTTATTGTTAGCATATAGGAAGACAACAAATTTCTGTGTATTCATTTTGGATCCTGCACCTTGCTCTGCTGAATCCAGTTATTAATTCTAAAAGTATTTTGGAGAAGTCCTTTCTATACATAGGGTTTTCTATATATAGTATCATGTCATCTGCAAAAAGTTAGTTTTAATTCTTCCTTGCCACTTTGGATGCATTTTATCTTTGTGTTGTCTCACTGCCATAGCTGGGACTTCCAGTACTAGGGTGAATAAAAGTGGTGAGAGTGGACAACCGTGTCTTGCTTCTGATCTTAGAGGAAGAGCTTTCGGCTTTTCACCATTAAGTATGATGTTAGCTATTGACTTGTCATATATGGCTTTTATTATGTTGAAGTACATACCCCCTTTGAGCATTCATTGAGAATTTTTGTCATGAATGAATGTTTAATTTTGTCGAATTGTCAAATACTTTTTCAGCATCTATGGAGATGATCATGTGGTTTTTGTCCTTTGTCTTGTTGATGTGGAGTATAATGTTGATCAATTTTCGGATGTTGTACCATCCTTGCATCCCTGGAATAAATCCTACCTGATTATGATGAATAATCTTTTTGATGTATTTTTGAATTTGGTTTGCTAATATTTTGTTGAGTATTTTTGCATCTATGTTCATCACAGATATTGGTCTGTAATTTTCTTTTTTTGTGGTGTCTTTGTCTGGTTTTGGTATTAGAGTGATGCTGCCCTCATAGAATGAGTTTGGAAGTATTCCCTCTTCTTCTATTTTTTGGAAAACTTAAAGGTGGATGGACATTAGGTCTTCACTAAATGTTTGGTAAAATTCAGCAGTGAAGCCATCTGGTCCAGGAGTTTGGTTCTTAGGTAGTTTTTAATTACCAATTCAATTTAGTTACTGGTAATTGGTCTGTTCAGATTTTGTTTCTTTCTGGGTCAGCCTTGGAAGGTTGTATTTTTCTAGAAAGTGATTGATTTCTTCAGATTATCCAGTTTGTTAGCAGATAATTTTTCATAATATTCTCTAATAATTCTTCGTATTTCTGTGGCGTCCATAATGATTTTTCCTTTCTCATTTTTGACTCTGTTCATGTGTGTAGACTTTTTTCCTAGATAACTCTATATATTTTGTTTACTTTCTCAAAGAACCAGCTCTTCCTTTCCTTGATTCTTTCTATTGTTTTATTCTTCTCAATTTTATTTCTGTTC